TGAATTCGGCCAACTTATAATAGTAGAGGGGTAGTTAGTTGCCTGTTTGTGACCTTTGTCACTCATACAGGGCTGGTTTACGTGAGAAAACTAATAGGCCGGTGTGCGTCCGCTCCAGACACAAATATGTTTCTACGTATTTCTATAATTTATCATTATAGCCATGGGCAGGGCAGACACCCGATCTTAGACGTGCTGCGAGTATCAGTCACCCTTACGTTTTAGGCCTTACTTTCACGAGGAGCTTACCTCTGACTGAGAAAGTTTTTAAACCGAACTGAAAGCTGCTTTCGGAGACAAGCAGGTTAGCGATTGTAATTAGGTCAATGTCAATTGCGTTTTAGCCTTGGACGCAGTACATATCCACGCTTCTCGAGCTATTAGAACTTTGCTGAAGCCTACTACTTCTGGAAAGATCTAAGAATAGTTGCGTGGAGCACGCATAACATGGCCATAATTAACAGTTTTGGAAAACTTCTCTCCTGCATGCGACAGTGGGGCTTTAGATGATGGTAGCTAACGGTCTGCTAGCAGACACAACACTCCATTTCTCACGAGATTAATTGTCCAATTGCTGAAAACTCACTGTTCTCATTGCTCGAGGGGCTTATTTTGCGGAATAGTTTTTACAAGCACTTGAACTTTTGTGGGGGGCGGGTGTACAAAATATCGTTTCACTTGTCTCTACCTTCCCTAACGCAGACCACTACTTTCGCAAAAGCCGAATTAGGGCTGTCGCCTTTGCCGCCATTTCCTCAACCTAATAAATCCTTATACCATCTGCCTTTGCGCTTTGTAACAGCGACCAGAGTTCTGCTCCGCTAAGAGTCGTCTACGAAGTTGCGTAAGTTATCTCGTCCCTCTGACGCATGAAACAGCTTGCCTATGCGTGCTCCTGCCCTGTATGCCTTGAGTTTTCGCTCCGTTCCCGTTCTTTCTTTGCCTGCTATGCAATCAATTGCCTGTCTTGTGTCCTTTTTGCATCCATGCCATCCCAACTCAAACTCGCTAGCCTATGTGTTGATTGTTACTGCTACCGAAGCCGCAATTCACGTCAGACCGATAATTATAGTTTCATTCTGCTGGACTGTTGAAAATGTGTTTTTTTTTGTTGTTCTTATTGCCCAAACGATCTGGTGAAAATTAGATGAATTATAGAAAACTCAAGAGTTATTGTGAATGAAAACCATCAGGAAATGACGACTTTGGGCTTGTTTGTGGTTATCATCTAGTCAACCACGGGCCAGGAAGCCCTGAGATTCGGTTTATCCTTTTGTTGCACATTGACTAGGCGACAGTCAGTCTATCGTAAGCGAACAGCACCACCACTGGCCCACATAGAGTGTAGTGTTGGAGTCCGCGTGCATTGGGCCATAGCACGGAACGCTTACGCTGGACTTGCCTCACTCTCTATTACCATGCCCACCGAGTTACAATAATCAGACCGATCCACTATGCTAGATATGAGCATTAATCAGGGACTGGCAAAGCTGAAACCACGTGTGTGTACTACACCCTTGT